AAAAAAAATCAAAAATACCTAATATTTAAACAATTAAATTCTAAAATGAAGTTAATAATTTAAACAATAAAAAATAACTTATATTCCTGACTAAGTGTTTTGTGATTAAAAAAAAAGATTTTGAAACATAATATATATTAATAATTGTCTAAATTTAATAAAATATGTATGTATGTATATATATTTGGTAATTATCAAATGTATAAATTCAGACAATTATAGTAGAGCAATGTATTATTTTAACTTAAATATATTTTTAGTTCTTCAAATTTATGGTAAATTTATTTTTTCCCTCAAATTTAAAATTATTATTTTTAGTTTCTAGAATTTTAAAAAATATTATGTTAATCCCTCAAGTCACCTATAATATATAAAAGTAATGGATTGAGACAGTTATGCATTATCAGCTAAGTTTAATATTGTGATGTTTTTACCAATAAGGACACTAGTAGGTAAATTTTATGTGATAATATTTGACATATTCTCTAACAAAAATTTGAGTACAAAATCTAAAATAAGATTTTTTGAAATTAAAACGGCCAATTTTAAATTTAAGAAATTAAAAATAAATTTATTTTAAAATTTAAGGGATTAAAAAGATATTTAAGCTTATTATTTTTCTTTTATAAGAGAGTGTTACTAATAACACATTTTTATTAAAAATTAGTTAAATTTTATTAAAAATTATAATGAGAATTTAAATAATTAATGAGATCCCCAATTTTTTTTAATGATTTATAATAGATTACAATAAATAATATAAACTTAATTTAAAGAGTGTTAAAAAATGTGTTACTACTATTTATCTGTTTATATAAGTAATGGAGATTAAAAGTTTTCTAACAATTTAAAGAAACTAAAGAAATAGAATAAATTATCAAAAAACAGTTAAATGGTTAAATTGAAATATTAAAGACTTAAAGAGCAAAAGGTATATTTTTCCTGTAAACATTGACATGAATATAACATAGTAAATAAATTTAATGTTTATACACCTTTAAAAAACTAAAAATAAGGTTTAAAATTATAATATACGACAAATGAATATAAACTAATCTCTTACAAAAATTAATCCGATTAATATCATATAATTAGTATACTTTTTTCACTGTATACATCTTTCGCCCCTCACGAATGCATGGGATCTCTCTTATAGTGTGGTTGGATGAGAAATTTTAAATTCTTGGTATTTGAATTATTTTGATTTCAATTTCTATCATTCTTAAAATATTTTGTTTGGATGTGTTAATTCAAATTTCTTAAAATTTAAATTGTTAGATTGAATATGATAATTTGATTCCACTATAGTAAAATTGATTTTAAAAATATATTTATACGTTGAGATTTTTAAATTAAATTTTATGAAAATAAATATTAATCCATTTTTAAATATTTAATAATTTTAAAAATTAATATTATATAATATTTAATAATTTTAAAAATATTTTTGAATATCCAATAATTAAAAGAATGAAGAGATAAGATAAAATATATAGCTGAAAAATAAGAAAAACAAATATGGAGAATTTCAAATTTCCTAATTTTTTAGAAAATTTGAAATTCTACTATTTTAAAGAATTTTACAAATGCTTGGATTTCAAATTCTTTATAAATTCTCCGTATTTCACCTCAAAAAAATTGAAATTCTTCAAACAAATGAATTACCTATATAAATTCTCCATCCAAACACACCACTAGAGTTTCTAGGTATAGATTTACTCGGTGATCTAATCATCGAGATCTGTTTTACATTATATAGTCTAAGAAAATCATGAAACAACGCTACCTTTAATTAACTAACTTTAAACTTCATCAACCTATTAATCCAATTGTAAGGTCTATCTTATGACATAGAGAATTGATTTGACGTTCTCAAAATTTATTTTGTTAATATTAAAATAATGTTTAATCAACATTTTATAAATTAATATTATTAACTTTTAAATATTATTTCGACAAGGAAAATTATTATGTAATAACATATATCATATAGTGATATAATACTTGTCATTAAAAATTATTAATATTATAGTTTATAGATATAATATACGTTAATATATTATTAAAAAATGTATGTATAACATTACAAGAAAAACGCAAATTTCTGATGAAAATTTTTTTACAGATACGAATCCGTCGAAAAATATAAATTTTTCGATGGAAAATTTCTGATGAATATTTCCGTTGAAAATTTCTGACGGAAATTTCTGACAGAAAAATTTTGACGAAAGATTCCGTCGGAAATTTCTGGCAGAAATACATTTTTGTTAAAAATTTCCGACGAAAATATAAATCCATCGAAAATTTCTGACAGATTTTTGTTTCGGTCGAAAAATTTAAGACCATAGCACACTTCCTAATGTCCCTTATTTGAACTCTTCGAGAATTCGATGATCGCTTTCTTTGAAATTTATAAATTTTATTTTTAATATTATAAAATGAATAAATTTTATTTTTATTTTTAAAAAATATTTTTCTTTAATTTTATCTTTTTAAAATGACTTAAATATGTCTTTAATCCTTATAAAATTAATAAGTTTTGATTTTAGTTTCTGTAAAAAAAATTATTTTTCATTTTCTAAAATTGGAATTTTTTATTTCTAATTCTTACTTTTTATGTAATCATTTTTAACTACTTTTTATTTTTTTTTTAAAATGATAAATAATTATCTTAGGTATCACCTACAACAATTACGTACTATTATCATATTAAATGTGAATTTTGTAAATCCAACAGTTAAATTAAAAATTCTTTACTTTTAAATCATATATACAAAATGTTATAATTGAAGATGATTGAAAAAAAAAATTTGTAGGAAAAGCTATATTATTGATGGAATATTTCCGACAAATTTATATTTGTCGAAAATGTAAGAACTAGTTTTAAATTTGATGTGAAAATATTATGATATAATTAGATAAGATTTTAAGTTAGTATTTTATTAATGGTTGATAATTAGAAAATAAAAACAAGGATAAATATATTTTTTGAATTTTATATGTTTGATTTAAGATAACTTACAAAATAACTCTTAGTAAAGTTATTCCGCTCAATAACTCATGGTGTGTGTTAAATTTCATCGATCCAATTAATTGTTAAATTAAAAGTTATTAAATTTTACTAATAATTAATATATAAATTTTACTAATAATTAATATAGAAAAATTAATTAGCTTTGGAACAAATTATTTTCTAATTAACAATATAATTGAAACATTAATTATTTTAAATTATAACTAAAATCTTATTGACAATTTACTATATGATCTTAATATTTTTGTATAACTAATATCTGGTTTTAAATTTGATATGAGAATATTATGATATAATTAGTTAAGATTTTAAGTTAGTATTTTATTAATGGTTGATAATTAGGAAATAAAACAAGGATAAATACATTTTTTAAATTTTATATGTTTGATTTAAGGTAAATGAATATATTAAATTAATTAATAATTTATTTAAAATGTTAAAATTTAATTTATAAGTATGTAATAAATAAATATTTATAATCTTATAAATTATATTATCATTATAAATTATAATTTTAAATAGAAATAAATATATGTTAATTATAAAAGTAAGTACATATAAATAAAGAATAATTGAATATATTATTATTATTATCATTCGTAATATAAAATTATTGTATATTATTATTATAGTACAAGTATGAGATTGTATATTTGAGAATGACTTAAATGAATTAATTTGTACAAGTTATACTGATAACATACATATACATTTCGGTAGCTTACTCATCAGAACTTCACAGTTAAGCGTGCTTGACCTGGAGTTGTATAAGGATAGGCGACCTTCTAGGAAGTTGAGACCAAATATGAGGGCTGTTACATTAATAAATTTATTAAAATTAAAAAAAATTATAATTTATGACGGAAAATTTTGTCAGAATTTTCCATCAGAAGTTTTCGACGAATTAAATTATTTCCGACAGATTTTTTTTTTTTGACGTCACTTTTTTCGACGGATTTAGATCCGTTGAAAAAAAAATCCGTCGGAAATTTACTCTTTTCTGTCAGAAATTAGCATTTTTCTTGTAGTGTAAATTATAGTGACATAATATATATATATAATTAAATCTCATTCAAAATCGATACTAAAATTAATCATAATTATATATCAAATAAAATTAAACATATATAGTATCGATAATTATAATTTTTGTGCAACACTGTATGAAACATTTTTTATAGTATGTGGACAATGTATAGAAAAAATGAAATAAAGTTTAAATCTTTTAACCTAGCTGACTAATAGTAAAGTTATTTCATCTCACTATGATGAAATATTTAAACTTGCCTGTTGTGCATATTGAACTTATCAACGACATACACGGGGTGTGTAAGTGTAACCTTGCTAAACTGAGTTGTATATGCGTGGATTTTAATTAACTAGTGTATGAGAACACCAAAGTATTTAATTAGTAACCTATTGCAATTTATTCAATAGTGATCCATCAATGGTACACAATTGATTATTTCATGGTAAAGTACACACAGGAAACAATCAATTGGGATATGAACTGGACCAATACCAACTGGTTTTTAGATTGCACCATAGCTACTTGTTAAAATGACCAGCAAAGGCCATTTTGGGTTAACGTAGGCAACAAAGAGAAGCTAATAACGAAGGAAGGGGCACCAAAACCAATTTATTTTCCCACACCGTAACGTAGCTTTCAATATAAAACTTGTGATTAAAATTAATTTGAATACCCAGCTATCTGAATTAGTCTACGGAAGTCTAACACAAACAAACAAGAGCAAACGATTGTGTAAATGAAAACTTCCCATCAGCATGTGCAACGTGAAAGTAAACAAGTCTGATGAGAGGTCTAACATGATGAAATCTTGAAGCATATTATGCTAGGGACACACGAACATGGCTGGACTACATGGGGGCCAGTGACCACGTGGCACAGCCTAGTTCAACCACCAATGTTGGTCCTCTTTCCGGGTTTTATTCCTGTTCCTTATTATGTTGACCCCCACACTCCCTCACTTCATTTCAATATTACCCTGCATAGCCCCATTCTCTGGCTAGCTTTTCTGATCCAGAAAAACAATGAAGGTGATTGAATTTAAACCATGCATACAACACAACACAAGCATGCATGCACATTCATTTTTATTCTACTACTTTTCCTCCACTCCTTTATCTAGAAGTTGGAGCTAGGTCTATCAACTTATTATTCATGTTATCTTCGTGAATTGTTTTGTCACAGATCTTCAATTGGGTGCACAAGAGGTTTCATCATAACACTCTGAAAGGTTTGACCTCTACAAATCAATATGGTGCCTGTAATTAAATCTTATTCATGATATATATAAAGAAAGAATTTGCTCAGATACAAATTTATAAGAACTTTTGAGTGTTTATATATTAAAAAGAGTTTTTTTAGTGAACAAGTATGCTAAACTTTTTATCTAAACTAACTCATAAAATAAAGATGTTGGTTCTTTATCTTTTTTTCAAGGGGCTAGGTTGTGATCTTTATTGTTTTGATGAATCTTTTGGTTTTTCTCTCAGATGGGTTTGCTTCAAACATGAAAAAGACTGAACCTACAGTTAACAACGCTGATAGTCAAGCTTTGCTGAAACAAGTTGCTCTCACTGAATCACTTAGTGGATGGGAAGATGGAATTCTAACCATTGGCACTCTTGGCTATGATCCCTTGAAGTCCATCAACCATCACAAGGAATACTTTGCTTTGGAAATCGAAGTTGAACAAGAAGATGGTGAGGGGGAGAACATGATGGTGGATGAGGAGGAGGAAAAGTGCTACAATGCTGAGCACGAGGAACTGAATCCGTTGATATACAACTCATTTGAGCACAACTTTGAGGATCATGTAGGTTGTGAAAACCATGATGATGATGTGGATGTGGTTAGGAGCTTCAACGAAATTGTTGTGGCTGCTCCACCTGTGATTTCTTATGAATCAAACGATGTGGAGGCTAAGAAGAAAGGGGAAAGGATCACATTGGCTGACCTATTCTTGGCTGATTCTGATGTTAAGATGAAGCTTGACCCTGCCAAAGTGTGTCACCTTGCTTCAAGTGAAAAACCAAACCTTAAAGCAAAGCATGGACTCTCTTTTGCCAAGAAGCTCATTCCCCGTGTTAAGGACAATCCCCATCCAATGAAAGATATCAAAAAAGTAAGTTATTACAAAGAAATATGAGTCATGAACTAATAGTTATTAGATTCATTATCATTGATATAACATTTGTTTGATGAAAACTAAACTGTTAGCATAGATATTGTCAATCTACATAACACTACTGTGATATATTAATATATCAAATCTTAGTATAATATGCTATTAATTTCTATTAGTGTAGATTGATCGCAATGTTTATATTATAGGACTTCAAATTCTGCTAAACAAATTGTTATATCGGTGGCTGCAATTCTATTGTTTAATTTATTTCCATTAATAAAGAATATTTTTTTGTAGTGCGTGCCTCATTGGCTAGCTAAAGACTATGGAATTAAAACTTCTCATCGAATTTGAACAAATTAACTGGACAAAGTCGAAAATACTATTGTTTCTGGGAACATATATATGTAGTGTTGGAACTTGGAAGGTTCAATCTGAATTAATTAAGCCACTAATTGCAGATTTGCTTGAATTAGTTTGATTAAGTAATTTGTAATGGTGTGTAGCTGATGAAGAAGATGTTAAAGAGGAAAATCCACCCGGATCTTGATGTTAAGAATCTCAAACCCGAAGGTGAGGAAGTGAGTTCAGCAC